GACCCACAGGGCCAGCAAGGCAAGGGGCAGGTTCTCTATGGATTCACAGGTAGAGGAAAATCCTGGAGCCCTCCATGGCTTTTTCAGGCTTTTAATCATCTTTCTACGCCATTTGTAGTGCTGCAACCAGGCGCAGGGCAGGCAAGGGGGCTGGGGGACCAGGGGGTTGGCAGGCCTCCTAGGCCCCACTGAATCTTTACTCTTTGGGCTCTCTCTGATGTCCTCTCCTGGTCTCTCTAACACTCTCCACCGCACAGCTTCCTCTGTGACACTGCCCTTATATCCTCAGTATCTCAGCTCAGGTGTGCCCTCTTACACTCGCCCACACTATACTCCAGGTATCCACCATCAAGTATGCAAACACCTCTTGCATTCAAGGCTGCAGGTGATAGCCATAGAAGCCAACAGCAAAGAAGTCTGAGCAATCGTCATTTACCCTACAAAATCACAAATCAACATCTCACTTCTGAAGTGGAGAAGAAGACAGAAAAAAGGAAACAAACCAAGGATGAACTGGAGTCTCAGCAAAGTATGGATAGTAAATTATCTGGAAGATACAGTGTTGTGGCTTCAGTGAGAAAGAAGGTCTTGATGGAGAAGGAGGAGATGTACTGGAGGTAATGATGATGAAGACTCGCCTGACCCAGCTGATTAGTGAAAGAAGGATCTGCTCCAGCTACTGAGCATCCTGATAAAGTAGAGGATCTCCAAAACAAAAATGACGCAAAAAGCAACTATAGAAAAGGATGTTTGTTAAATCCAGTGATTCATAACTCCCAAATACATAGTCTTTGTGTTAAAGGTAAGTTTTATTGCACAGTGCGCAGTGGTGGGCTGCTTAGAGCACAGACCTTTGTATGATACTTTTTTTTTTAAAGATTGTTCTAAAAGATTACAAAGAGCTTTTGGATGCCTGGATTACATTTTTATGAGCATGATTATAACCATTTTTGTAAAGAGTAGTGTAAGGTAAAAAAGTATCAGGCTTTTCTGCCCTCCCGCCATTAGGACTGATGATGGATCCCTGCGGTCCTGAAAGCACGTCCAATGGCGAGCACCTGGAGTGGGGTGTGGGCATGCGTAAGTGGGGACACCTGGGCTGAGAGACTGAGCTTATAAGGGCATCATCATGGGGATGCCAGGAAGAAGCAGAATCACAGGAGAACAGAGACCACCAGAGAATGCCTGAGAGCCCAGACAGAGTGAAGACTTGCTGGGGGCTGGGAGGCCTGCCAGCCTCCCGGCCCCCCAGCACCCCTGCCTGTTGTGTACCTGGTAAATCCCAATAAAAGCCTGAAAAGCTACCGAGGGCTGCAGGACTCCTCCTTACCCCGTCTGCTTGGTTCATAGAGATCCTGCCCTGTGGCCATTCCTGTCACTACAAGTAGAAGTGGTATAAAATGAGAAATAAATACAATGGTCAAATTCCTTTCATATTCGCAGCCTCAAACCTCTCAATTCACCTTTTGACCTCTTCAAATAGTTACAAGGAAGACACTATTTTTATTTATAGTAGCTGTTTCAGCTTTTTGTTTCTTCATATTTTTTCTTATAAAAAGTTTATCTGATACTGTGATATATTCATGAAAGGTATTTTATTATATATTGTCATAGCAGAACTATTCATCATGGAAATTTCTGCTGCCAGTAACAATCTAAGTCAATATTGGCCATAGATTAGGTACTTAGTTCACTTATTCAGTTCTGTTCTTTTGAATGAAGTTGCAGCTGTTACATATTTGGTACATTATGGTGCCAAGGTCTTTATATAATTTGAATTACATTGTTAGATTTTTAATAAATTTTGGTGAATGTTTACAGAATTTATTCCCCTGATTTTTTCGTCCTTTTTTAAGATTTATTTATTCATAGAAGAACTGGGGTATTGGCCAGAGATGGGGGGAGAAAGGATTCAACAGACAGAATGGGGAGCAGAATAGGCAGATCTACCAAATACACTGGATACCCTGCAAAGGGGAGCAGTGGGCAAGACAGGAGAGGTCTGCTACACCATATGTGGGTGTAGTGGCAGGAAGGCACAGAGCAGGATCTCTATGATCCAGGCAGTCAGGTTAAGGAGAATTCTGGAGCCCTTGGTGGCTTCTTCAGGCTTTTACTGAACTTTTTACAAGGCAGGGGGCCAGGAGGCCTACTGCGAATCTTCGCTCTTCCTGGGCTCTCCTAAGTTCTCTCGTGGTCTCTGCTACTCTGCTGGTCCTGCTCTCGTTCTGTAGCTCTCGTTCTGTTGCTCTGCTGGCAACCCCCTGACGCCACCCTTATAAGCCCAGTCTCTCAACCCAAGTATGCCCACCTATGCATGCTCACAGCCTACTCCAGGTGTCCTGCCATCAGGCACGCATATAGGACCACAGGGATCCATCATTAATGCTAATGGCAGAAGGCCAGAAAAGCCTGATAATTTTCACTTGCCCTACAGTGGGTTAGCTCCCTGGCCAGGAATTGAACTCAAGCCCCAGTGTTGATAGCATGATAGTGCTGAGACTTAACCCGTATGCCACCAGGGAGACCCAGTCCTATCTATTTAGAACTATGTAAAACTGAATCTTTTAAAGGATGTTTTTGACAAAAACACAAAATTAAAAAAATCAGGATTTTTTAAAATTAGAATTGCATTACATTAATGAATTAATCTTGAATTTATTATTTATGATATTGAATCATTCTATTAATTTACCTGGCTTATTACTCATTTTCTGGGATCTTCACCAGAGAGGTTAGAAGGAAAGAACAGTTTGAGATATGTTAGTCTCTCCCACAACGTTTTTGGTCTGGACTTCCTATAAACAAATTCAGTGGTAATGCACAACTTGTGTATTGCCTCAGTTCCTGAGTTTGGCAGCTTTAAGGTCTATCTCCATGTCAAAGTTCTGTGCTCCTGCTACATTGAATTTTGATGAGACATCTCTCAGTAAGTTAACACCAGTGTGGGGTAAGGTAAAAAGTATCAGGCTTTTCTGCCCTCCGGCCTTTAGGATGGATGACGGAACCCTGTGGTCCCGAATGCATGCCTGATAGCGGGCACCTGGAATTGGGTGTGGGCATATGTAGATAGGATTCACCTGGGCTAAAACTGGGCTTTTAATGGCAGCGGCACAGGGATGCCAGCAGAAGGGGGGAGAGGAGAGAGAGAGAGAGAGAGAGAGAGAGAGAGAGAGGAGAGAGAGAAAGCAAGAGAGAGAGAAAGAGAGAGAGAGAGAGAAAAGCAAGGCCACGAGAAAAGCAAGGCCACGAGATAATGCCGGAGAGCCCAGATACAGTGAAGATTTGCTGGGGGCTGGGAGGCTGAAGGCCTGCCAGCCTCTCAGCCCCCTGCCTGCTGTGTACCTGGGAAATCTAAATAAAAAGACTGCAAAAGCCACTGAGGACTCCAGGACTCCTACTCCTCCTTTACCTGGTCTGCTGGAATCACAAAAAAACCTGCTCAGTGTCCCATCCTGCCCCTATAACCAGATATACACAAGTTTTCTGTTGAAATCTTTACCCTGTCCATCTATAAGAGCAGCACTCCTATTCTTTTGGGCAATGGCTCCCCACCCCAGGTAATTCTAAATATTGCTATTTACAGTTCCCTGATCACAGGTGTAAGCACACAGACCAGGCTAAGCCAATCATAGCTCTTTATAAAATTGGAAGTCAGGGGAGAGGTTGACACTCTCTGGTGAAAGCCTTGAGAGGCTGAGAACTCCCATTTTTAGGCTTGTGGAGCAACTGTATCCAACAAAATGAAGTTAAAATGTAGAAAGCAGCCAAGATGAGAGATGGAGACATCTTGGTTATGGCCAGGAGCCTGGTGCCAAGTGCATTTCTATCCTACTTTGGTTTGATTAGATGAACCAATAAACTATTTTGCCCAATCCCTTTGCAACCTGAAGTCCTAACATCGATCTATTTTCTTGTTCATTTACATAGACCCTCCTATTTACTTTAAAACTCTCTGTCAAATCTCGTTCTTCACACATTTAACGTCAAGTCCTTTTCTAAATTATGCTTATACCAGTCATCATTTCAGTCTTTTAACAACAGGAAGGATTCATTGAACATCTACTAAGTACTGGTCTTCAGAGACTGCAATGATAACTGAGTCTTCCAAAGAACACAATTAAAATACATACTTGAGGGGCCTCGCTGGTGGCGCAGCGGGTTGAGCAATGTGCTGTGAAGCTGTTCCCAGTCTCTGCAGCAAGGATTGCATCCCTGGCAGGCCAGGGAGATATCCACACAACACAGCAGACCTCTCCTGTCTCACCCGCTGCTCCCTTCAGCAGTGTCTTCTGTCTGCCTGTTATGCTCCCTGCTTTGTCTCTGGTGAATCCTCTCACCCTCACGCGCCTCTGGCCTGTACCCCAGCTCTTGTATAAATAAAAATAAATCTTAAAAAATATATATATATTTGAACAAAATTTATGTAAAACACACTATAAGATGGGCATTTGGATATAAGTGAGATTATGAATTAAACCTCATTTGCTCCTCACCAAAATCCTGCAGGGGAGTTGGGAGAGGGGTTAGTAATTATTCCAATCTTCTCGAGCTAAAAAATAGTGGAATCATAACTTGAACCCAGGAGGTTTATTTGTCCGTTATTTTAATTGTCCTGTTCTGCTTAAACTCGGGGAATAAAAATTTCTGAATTCATTTAATTTACAAGAATAACTCCCAATTCTCTTTCCATCGGATTCCAATTCCCTACCAAATTACAGCACTGAGGTATGGATGGTTACTCAGGACCAAAATTAGGTCCTGAGCAAAACACAAATCCAGGGCTTTCCAGCTTGCAACTTCCCTCCCCCCGCGCGCCGCCCCAGACGTGCCTCCATTATTGGCAAGGCACGCTGGGAATTGTAGTTTTGGGCGCGAAGAGCCCAGCGAAGGCGCTGACTCACTGGAGCCCAATCAGCAAAGAGCCGACTTGCTCTCCGCGCAGCCATTGGCTGGAAGTCAGCGTTCGCCCGCCCCGCGGCGCCGTCGCTCAGTCGCGGGTAAAGGCAGCTCGGGGCTGGCGGGGTGAGAGTGACTGCGGCGTTCGCGGCCGGCGGGGCGTGAGACAGCAGTGCGGCCATGGCGGAACCTCAGCCCGCGTCTGGCGGCCTCACCGACGAGGCCGCCCTCGGCTGCTGCTCCGACCCGCACCCCAGCACCAAGGTGGGCACAAAACTTAACTTCTTCCATAGCTGAGCCCTGCGTGGGCCGCTTGGGCTCCGGGAGGGAGCGGTACCCGGGCTGAGCGAGGCCGCGCTCAGGCGGGATTCGAACCGCGGTCGACCGCTGCTGCAGCTCCGCGCTAGTGGCGCCCAGGGGAGGACCCAATTCTTCTGGTTGTTGCAGACACTGCTGCCCTGCTTGCATTAACTTATTTGAGAAGAGTATCTGGAAGCCACCGCTGACCCAGGGCCAGCTCCCTCTCTGTGGGTGTGGGTGCTCCTTGCCCGATGAGAAGCAGTTTCAGAACTTCTAATCCAGGTTCAAAGGTGCCTGTCAGGCCGGCCCCTCCCAGCACGATCCTTTTTATCCCCACCCCCTCCACACCCCCCCTCCCCCCCTCCGTGACTGCCCTGGCTCCAGGCTCAACTCCACCAAACTAATTTGTTCACCCCGAGTTTAACCACGCCTAGAATTTCGCTTTGTGGCCAGCCTTTTGCCCTCCCTGTGCGTGTGCCTCAACCCGCCCCCCACACACACACCACCTCAGACCCCAGGAGAAATTATAGAATCTTGAAGCTTAGATCCAAGGGGAGTCTTAGAAGTTCACTCAGCGACCCCCTCATAGTAGAGACCCAGTAAGGAATAACCTGTTGCACATGAAGGCTTTCATCCCTCCACCGTGCTGGACATGTCTGTACTGAGAGTCAGTGTAACTCATGCAGGTGTGGTGCCTCCCTGCTTTGTCAGGATTAGACACGACAGCCACTCTGGGGTGTGTGTGAGTGGGAGGGAGGGCTCCACTCTACTCCATGTCAGAAACGTCTTTGTATTTCTTCATTAGACTGGGGTATTTCTAAATTCCTTGATGATTGAATTTGTGCTTTTCCAAGACCTCTACTACGAGTTTGATGACTTTGCTCTCCTGCATGCTTTTTGCCTTTAGGGTGAAGAGTCAGACACCTCAAATTGCTAAAGCCTTTTTCTAGTATCTGGTAGGTCGCTTAGGAAAAATGTGACTGCAAAATTAATGGGAAATAAACGTATTTTCTCTCTCTCATTTGTGTATCTTCTAATAATGATAGTTAATTCACAGAATATAAATTGAATAAGTATAAATCAATTCCCCCAGATTACTGGGAATTTAATGTGCTGGACTATTTAAAAAAGTATTCAGGGCCGTTTCTATAAAATTTTAAAAGTATACTTCCTTGGGCCTCCCCTGGTGGTGCAGCGGTTGAGCCCTGGGTTGCGAGGCTGTCCGCAGCCTCTGCAGCGCAGTTTGATCCCCAGCCACCAGCCAGGGTCCCACACCAAAAAAAAAAAAAAAAGTGTACTTCCTTGCATTCTTAATTTACAGTCCACATAATCTAAATTTCTCTTGGTGATTTGGAGTAATTATTTTTTGATATCAGTAATTTTTGGCCCCTGAAGTACCGTGTGGGGGACATAAAATAGAATATGTAATAGCAGTTGGTATATAATGTGTGTGTGAGGGCCTGGGTGGTGGTTCTAATTTTACTTCTTAATTTAATCCTATGACAAAGACATAATTATTATCCTTTTTACAAATAAGAAACTCACACAGCAGTGTTGAGTAACTTGCCCTGGGAGGAACTCATACTCCTACCTCCACCATATTCTGTCTCTGGAGTAATGACTGCAACTGAAATTTTGAACATGAGGGAAAATTAAACTCCTCAATGAATTAAATTCAGCTTGATTGCTGATCATCTGTATTATGTAAAGAGCATGGTATGTTTCTGGGATACTGGGATGGACAATATGAAGTCCCTTCACCAAACATATAGCAGCTCTAACATAAAATGAAACAGATTAATGTGTTATTGAAATTATAAAGCACCTGGGAGCACAGGAGGTAGAGAGATTCTTGAAGGTAGCCTCTGTGGAGTGGTGTGCATACAGGGTATTTGGGGTCTGAAAACCTGCCTTTGAATCTCCAGTTTTATTACTTTCTGTAGTGATCTTGGCAGGACATTAGGGCTGAGTTGTAAACGCAACATGAAGAGAGCTGCTATGAAAATAAAATGTGTGGCTGTTCTTCTTTGAGCTGAAAAATGATACAATTCAAGATTGTATTTAAAATATGGAGATCAGAGATCAAATAGAGGGTGGGCTTGGGCCCCTACCTTAAAAGATGAATGGATTCCAACCCCATATGGGAGACAGAGTTACATGGGAGGACATTCTAGGTGGAAGACACTCCTGAGGAAAATGGTAGAAAATGCAGTATGGGCATATTCTTGGAGAGGTGAGTCCTGTATTTTTGTTTGAAGTTCAGGTTATCTAAGCAGTGGAGTAATGTTAGAGAAAGCTAGAATGGTAGATTGGAACCAGATCGTGGAGAGAGCTTTGATTGTCGCATCTCAGGAAGCTGGGTTTTATATAGGTAGTGGGAAACCATTCAGGATTTCGAAAAATATTCTATAGAATTGACTGGAGGGAACCAAGCCTAGAGGTAATTATGACACCTAAAAGACTTTTCTAGAAGGTGAGATAAATGACAGGGCCTGATTTGGAAGGCAGCTATGCTCACCACTATACCACCAACACGGACCTAACAAGGCCTGATTTGGAAAGGGGAGAGCAGCAGTGGTAGAAAGACAACTGGCTTGTTGATCATTTGCATCTGACCTAAGGGCAAACCAAAGAATGTATAGCTGTTCGACATCCTGGACAGTCTTACTTGGCTAACTTACTTCAGAAAACCAAATACTTCTTTTCCCAAGAGGTAATGTCCTGAAATTCATTCCTTTTACTGTGTCTACCAGCATTTGATATAATACTTAGAGTCCCACCCCATAGCAGTGGTAGGTCATGGGGCCAGGGAAACTTTCAAAGTTAGTAACACTTAAGCTCAGTTTTCCCAAATACGAGGGAGGTGACCAGGTAGAGTTGGGTGTAGTGTTACAGTAGGAAGAAAGGATGGAATCCGTAAGGAAGAAGGGCAGCGGCCAGACAAGATGACTGACTGTTGTAGGCAGAGAGAATCATCAGCTATATAAAAGCACAGTGACATAAGAGAACTATACATGCATTATACTGCTTTGTAATTTAACTTTAGGTGCTCAGAGCTCTAATTATCCCCATTCTAAAGATGTGGAAACTGAGATTTAGGAAAAGTAATGATTTACTCAATAGTGGTAGAGCAGAGACTGACAGGTAACACAGAGAGACTGAAGTTATAGGTAGTGGGAGTTGAAGGGATGGTACCTAGAACGGTCACTGGGCTGCTTAAAGGAAACACGAGCACTTGCATTATGTTCATTTGTTTGCTCTAAAGATTTCTATTGGGTAAATGTATTTTATAATGTTTTATTAGTATATTTCTAAATGTATATAATCAAAATAACTGTGCATCTGTTGCGGGGGCATGTTTTTCTTTCCAACTGATAAGTGTATGAAATAAAAAAAACATTGGAGAGGACCAATTTAGGGAAGTAGTATCAGAAGCTAAAGTTAGAGAAGTATGCAGCTGCCGTATATGCTTGCTTTGGGGACTTTCTCTTAAATGCTATGAGGATTGATTTTTTTTTTTTTTTAACCCAGAAATGACACAATTGGGCTTTCATTATGGAACTATCACTCTGGTAGTACTATAAGATCATTCTGATTGCATTTGGATAAGCCTGCATGAGGTAGGCTATGTCTGTCACCGAAGCAGGAAGTAGTAAATACATGAGCAAAATACGGATTCTTCCAAAGGGAAAGGGAAAGATTACAGAGGGATTTAAGCAGTCAGGTTGATAGAACATGTGATTGGACTATAAAGGACGTGCACAGAGAGATATCAAAGACTCCAGCTACCTGACTTGTTGGGAATATTGAAGGGAGTGCTTATTTGGGCTGCAGTGAATTTGATATTTTGACCCAGGTGGAAATGATGAATAGACTGATGAGACAAAAGTCCAGAGAGGAGGTCAGTGGTATGGGCTGGGGCTGAACCCTTATAAGTAACTTGCCCTGGGCCGGGCACTATACTAAACACTTTCCTGTATTGTGCTATTTATTTTTCAACTCAACCCTTGGAACTGAGAACTTTAATTATCCCCATTCTAATTATATGGCGCTTATGCTCAAGAAAAGTAATGATTTACTCAAGGTAACAGTGGTAGCCTGCATTTGAGCCATACAGCCTCTGAAGAATTATGTTTCTCATATTTGACTCTAATTATCCCCATTCTAAAGACGTGGAAACAGGTTTAAGAAAGTTGACTAATATCACAGGTAATTTTTAAAATTTCCCCCCTGACTCTGTCACCCTTGTCTATAGTGTAAGTATATTTAAAGTGTGTTGTTGGCTGTTGAGTTATAGAGTGGGAAGGGAAAAAAATTACATGAAGACAATTTAGATAAGAAGATAGAATAATGTAAAGGGAGTGGCTGTATTATTTTCTGAAGTAGCTTGTCACATTCTGACATAGGGTGAGTCAGGAGAAGTAACAGTAGGTGGAGGAAGATAGGAAAGAAAAACATATTACCCCACATTGTACATCAACCTGTGTTCCAGCTGTGGTGTAGTAAAGTCTTGTTCCGCTCAAACAGGCTTGTAATGCCAAAAAGATCTTTTCACTAAAGACAATTGTGATTTTAAAAAGTCAGGAAAAAACCAAAACTTTTCAATTTTAGTTTTACTGGAGATATGAAATCCAGGAGTAAGAGTTAAGCCCTTTTGTCTTTGACGGGAGTCTCACCTTTGATTAACTGTAGCTGTTTTCCAGGAAATAATTTAAGATGGAGTTTGTTGCTTATGATAAAAATAACTGAATTGATAAATTGCATCTGGAGAGGGAGAATTATAAATATCTAATACGAAGCTATAGCTTTAGCTTCCCTGAATGCAGTGACTCTTACAGCTGTCCTTATGGAGGTTCTGGAAGTTCTCCTTATGGAGTTGTTACTAGAGGTACTGGCTCCTGTGGTACATAGGCTTCTATACCAGGGTGAGTCTCATTCCTCCCCAGCGTGAGCTGTCCTTTGCA